TATCTATCTATCTATCTATCTATCTATCTATCTATCTATCTATCTATCTATCTATCTATATTTCATTCCTCTGATTATCCTTCATGGATATGATTTGCCTTTTATTTCTTGAAAGCAAATGGAATTTGTATATACCTATCCTTCAACAAATGGAGGTGCAGTATAACAGTCTAAGACTGTGCCTTGCAAAGCTTTCTATTTGTCTTATTTGCTAGATTAGATTTGTGTTAATTATCTGATAGAAAGAGGCTTCATTCTTACTGTTCACACATATTTGTCGGGATATTTTTGGATTGGTCTGCAGTCATTGTTTCTTATAGAAATATAAGCTCTATACTGGGATAAAGTTAAACAGCAAGGGATTCCTAGCAAATTAATAAGTCAACTATGTTTGCATTCTAATTCTGGATCTCATCCAAGGAATCAGTCAGTGAATGGGAATTACAATAATCTGTCCTTCCTTTAGGCACTTGCCTTTTTTTAATATGGGTGGGTGTTCTTGGACGATAACCAGACAGATGGAAAAGCTGCAAGCACTGTCAGGTGAAAGACTTGAAGGCTAAAGGTGTAGCCATGTATCATGTACTTGTTCCAGCTGCCTAAGAACTTTCATAGAGCTAGAAAACCATTCAGATAATACCACTCTCTAAAATGTTGGGAACATTTATTGCATTAATCAGAAATGCAATCAGCTTTCATATTGACCATTCAGATCATATTGCCTTCTAAAATTTTGAGAAGATTATCAGAAATGCACTGAGCTTTTGCATTGTGTTGGTAAATAATACTGTTCTGTCATTTAGTTCATTTTTTCCCTTCATCTCCTTGTTACACATTGGTCAAGAATATTTAGAGGAACATTTTGCCAGGTATAGAATGCATTCTGTATTTAAAACTAATAGAAGGGAAAGTTAAAATATGCTATTTATTCCTTCTTTCATTCAGACTTAATAACTGACTGCTCCGTAAAAGAAATTTTTATACACACACACACACACACACACACACACACACGTATGGGTGTGTTTGTGTGTATGTTCCAGCATAACTCTGGAATACTCGAGCAATGTCAACCAAACTTGGTACACAGATGACTTACCCTTTGGAAACAAATACTGTGGCACCCCTAACACCCCTCGGTGTGGGTGTGCATCTTAAAATGGCTTCTATTGTACAGCACAGTGGACTTACTATGGTAATGGCTTCACAGTACTCCACAAGGGGGCTCCCTCTCCCTCCCTTTCCTTGGGGGCTCTCCAAGGAAACGCCAGGTGATTGGCCAAGTGCAATCAAAAAAAAATGAAACACTAGCGTAGACAACAAACTCCCAAGGAGAGGAATAGAAGACTTGTGACACTGCACGAGAGACAGTACAACAGCGTGACTCCCGACTACAAGATTTTCCTGTCTAATACAGGATTGGAATAAATAAATAGCTGGGCAACACCGGGTTATCAACTAGTACTTAAGTAAATTTCTGTGCTGTGTCTCTGTCTCCGGCTGATAAGTAGCTAACAGGACAGTGTCAATCATTGTGTCCTACATGGACAGACAAGCATGATTTTATCTCAAGGATTTGCCTGTATGTATTAATTTAGCAGAGTTCAGGAGATAGTATTATCCACTGTATACTTTACCACATAAGCATATTCTGCATAAGCTGCAACAGAACATTTTCTAATACAATAATTAAATGTACTAATCTGACAGTAACATTGGATTCCCAGTATCAGAGAAATCACATTGCTGTATTCCATTCTGTATACACACATTTATATTTTACTCTGCACTTTTTTTTACCAATATATTTTGTGATTTTCAGTCATATTTGAATATTTTGATTTGTAATCAAGATGCCAAGACACAGAATATTTTGATACTTGATACTTGACCCTATTGTGTTCATTTTAATTGCCAAGATAGAAAAGCATTTTACTTAGTATAAAATAAAAACATAACAGTAGACAACATGATGCATCCTCCTGGTTCTGAATATGACTTCCTCAACTCTTGCGATTAGTCAGGTTGACTGAAATTTATGAGAATTGTCCAAAAAATTTGGAGGATATTTAATTGTCTACCTTGTGTCTACACTGATAGACAACTTACAAGATAAACTCAGAAATAAGACTTTAAAATAGCTGTTGCTCTCTTGAGAAGTGGGTCCTGGGTAGCAACTGTTCTTGTGGAAAGTGAGTTATTTGGCTATTCAGTTTGGCTTCATTAACAAGACCCATGTGAGATTCACTGCTCTTAAAAGAATTTTATTTTATTTATTAAGTAGATTTATATGGCTGCCCAACTCACACACTGTAATTCTTTAATCAGACAGCTAAAGTAAAGAATGTGCATTCAACAACCATGTTTAGTGCTAGGACAGGCCTTCTTTGCAGAAGCTTGTAAACAGGGCGGAAAATAAATCTCAGGCTAGTCCTGGTCAAGTTAATCTATTTGATGCTCTTACTAGAACTGTAGATTTGGTGATATCAACTGCCAACATTAGCTCTGCTTGCATTGGTTACCTCTCTCTAAGCAGTAACAGCAGCCGATACTTTTATCAAAGTCTTTGGTTCCCTAAAAGCCATTTATCTTACTCAGTGACACTAAATACTTAAGAAGCAATTGGGCTGTTTTAGCAGTGAACTGTTTTATCTGGTAGGTAGCAGTTTTATAAATTCAAACATTTAGCTGTAACTGATTTCATCACAGAGATTCTCCTAAAACAGAGGTTCCTCTGATGAAAGGGAAAGATTATAGCATGTTGAAGTTGTCAGTATAACCGTTAATAAAAAACTTAAAATTGAATATGCACCACCATTTTTCTGGCTCATTGTACATATTTCTATCCTGTTCTTTTAAGAAATACTATAATTGTAAAATTGTGAAGCAGTTCTAAATGTTTTACTCACTGATTACACATTGTCTTTAACAGTGTTGATGTATATATGTTGTATTTTGATATATTTATTCCATATTGTTCCTTGGGGAGGGATTGTTATTGTTAGCAATGTCCTTATCCTAAAACCCACTTTTTGGAAATAATCCAAAGCGTGTAATAAACTACAGAATATCCACCTATAACTAAAAATAATCCCCAGCAGTCCTTACCTCTTTGATTTAAGAATGGAAATGAATAAAGATGAACACATTTTGCTAGAAAGGAAGAAACAGGATAAGAAGTTTGTGTATAGACATGGATTTAATATACATTGGGCAGGCTCAATCATAAAGTCTTGTCCACTTCCTCAGCCCAAACCGGATCAGTACCCTTCCAAATAACAAAGCAAAACTGTACCCCAGTTACCTCCATAGTACGGGTGTCAAACTCAATTTCATTGAAGGCCACATCAGGCTTTGTGATATGGCCTTCAATGAAATTGAATGTGTTTGACCTTGGGGGCGGGGCATGACCAGCTTGACATGACTCATGTCTAGAGCGCAGATGGTGGTCCGAGCCCTCTGCCAGTGAAAATGAGCTCCCAAGCTCAGTTTTCAGCTGTGATGGCCTCCTGCAACCCTCTGCCAGTGAAAACAGAGCTCGGGAAGGCCGCACACAACCTTCCTGAGCACAGTTTTCACTGGCAGAGGCACCATAGGCCAGTCCACTGTTTCCAAGGTGACCCCGCAGGCCAGATCTAAGCACCCTGTGGGCCGAATCTGGTCCATGGGCCTTGAGTTTGACATCCCTGCTCCACAGGAACTGGCCCATGGCTGGAGCAGATCTGAGGGATTTTGTCAGATAGATGCCCAGCATATTCCTCCAAATGGCCCTATAGGTAGACCTCTGAGCCTGTTCTATTCAAAAGGACCTGGGTCATCCTAAACAAGGCTGCTGAACACATGGGCATGGAAGAACGATATAAATAGTGATATTTCACCACCCTTACTGTCATGACTTGCTCATGAGTGCCCTCCAGCAATACTTTATGCATCTCTTCACCCATTTTGTCTCTTCACGATTCCTCAGTAAATAGTGAAAGATTCTGAGATTTGTTTGAAGCATCAGTGGTATACCAAGGTAGCTACCCCTGCGTGAGATGTAATAAATGCCTACTCAAGATGTAATAAATGCCTTAATCCACCAGATACATGGCTAGTTTGTCCTAAGTTCATTTTGATGGAGCATGCCTAGATATACTGAGGTTTGCAGTTGTCATCATTCTGCACAAGTTGAAAAGACAAGCTCTCTTGTGTAGCTTTGTGACGGGAATGAAGGGGGAGCAAGTTAAATATCAAGCTCTAACACATTTTACATTTTTAGAGATACATTTGTGAAGAACGGTATATATTATTGGATCTTGCTAGTGCCAAACCTCACGTATGAATGTGTTAATCCGCATCACCATTCCTTATTCTATCTCCATTTTCTTTCCTCCTTCTCGTCTCCGTCAGTTGAGGCTTAAGGACTCTGCTGACCACGTAAGTACCATTTATTAGTGTGTTGGCTTGGATCAAAAGGTTCTGAGGATCATCTTGTGAAGTCTTTTGTGCATAGTGCTGTCAAAACATCCCCGTCAATTCTCAGATACTTTGAGGAGTTACTCTGGAGCTTCAACCAGCTATAAATTGCCCTGAATAAATTGGCCTTTAGATTGCAAATAATGCAGAAAAGCAATTGACATTTCTGTCATCTCTATTTCCTGCTTGTTGCAATGCAATTTAAGAAAAATGAAGGGGGAAGCAAGCCCCTCTTCCCTGTCCTTGCCCAACTGGTTACATGGCAAAATCAGTTCTACACAATCTTTAAACTTCATTGTTCCCAATCGTGAAATATATTTTGCTCTCTCAGCTATGACATTTGGCTAAAAATATGGGCTACAATACAAAAACAATCACATTCAAAAAAAAGTTTGAAATAATTTTGAAATATAAATTTGAAGGAAGAAGAAAGAGAGTGCTTAAACCAGCTGGTGTGACTTCCATTCCTTCTTAAACAGAAGGGTGATGTTAGAAGGGGTTTGCAGTGACAGCCTTATGCCTACAATCATTGGAATGGTACCTTTCTTTTCTCCCAATCTATGTTTTTTCTTTCTTTCCTTCCTTTTCCTACTTCACTTTCTCCAATAGCATGTAAGAATATCTCTTTTGTGTATAATGTGGTATTAACTATTTCTTTGGGCGATGTTTATAGCCTGTAGTGCTATATATTTTAGCTTCTCTTTCCATGTTATTTTAATTGATGTGATTAATTTATTTGATTGATTCAGGTCACTCATGCAAACTTCAGGGAAAGGGGAATCTTTTCCTATTCTGATTCCTGTGTCATTCTGATTGGTGTTTTTTAATTTGGGTTTCTAAATGAAAACAATGAAGAAATGTTAACAATTTTGAGAAATCAAGAAAGTGGTGGGATTCAAAACATTTTACTACCAGTTCTGTGGCGTGGTTTGGTGGGCATGGCAGGGGAAGGATAATACAAAATCCTGATTCCCTCCCTACTCTGAGGGAAGGTTATTGCAAAACCCCATTCCCGCCCCACTCCACTAACCTTTTGTCAGATAGATGCCCAGCATATTCCTCCAAATGGCCCTATAGGTAGACCTTTGAGCCTGTTCTATTCAAAAGGACCTGGGTCATCCTAAACAAGGCTGCTGAACACATGGGCATGGAAGAACCATATAAATAGTGATATTTCACCACCCTTACTGTCATGACTTGCTCATGAGTGCCCTCCAACAATACTTTATGCATCTCTTCACCCATTTTGTCTGTAATAAGATGTAATAAATGTAATAAACATGTAATAAATGCCTTAAGCCACCAGATACATGGCTAGTTTTTCCTAAGTTCATTTTGATGGAGCATGCTCTGTTTCAGCTTTGTTCTCCTGTGCAGGGCAACAAAAGAAGACCCAACCGATCAGCTGGGACTTAGGAGGCAGAGAATAGGTGGGGGTGGGGCCAGTCAGAGGTGGTATTTGCCGATTCTCTGAACTACTCAAATTTCCTCTACCGGTTCTCCAGAACTAATCAGAACCTGCTGAATACCACCTCTGTGTCCTGCTCTATCCATTACAGTACAGATTTGATGAGATTCTGTGCCTGAATATTCAATTGTACCGAATACTCATGTACAGAATTAATATTTTTAAGTTCTGCTTGAAAACATTTTGATCCCTTTTAAGCAGGTTGCTCCCTATAGAATTCTGTGACAGAATGTTTTTGCATAGCATACTAAACCACACAGCTTGTTGATTTGCAAATGAACTCTATTTCACACAGTGGCTTTGCCTGCAAATAGATGCAATGAATAGGGGTATCTGGGGTTTGGTTAGCCTGCTATACGAACACAACCCTCTGCTTTCTCCATGCAAGAAAAAATAGGAAAATTTGCTCTCATTTATAAATACCTTTATTCTTGCAATGAATTAAATACGGGTCTTGCATTCACACATCAACTGACTTTGATTAATCAGGCTGCAGACTGCTCATTATTAACTCATATATTCAAGGTGAAAACAAGGCTTCTGTTTAGAAAAGCACGTGAACTACCTCACAAATAGTTTTCCCTAGCCACAGTCTACAAAGCCAATTCCACCCACTCAAATGTGATTAGGCACTTACTCAAAATTGTGAGTACATCAGTGAGAAAAGAAAACTAGCATCCCATGTCTTTCTTTTCTAAGGAGTTTACATCTTTCTTTGGTTGTTGTTACAACCTATTTTCTCCATTTATGGAATGGGTACTTTATTGAACACCTGGGCATATAACGGCAAATGAATTAACTTGGTAGCCTCACCCACGATCTTATTGCCGATCCCAATTTTGGTAAGCTTGGTATGTGTTGCAGGCTTCTGTAAGAAAGCTTTCATGCCACTTAGAATTATTGCTCCTTTTGTAATCACAGTCATGTTAGCTTCCTGCCCTGCCCTGAGGTTTGATGGTGGGGTTCTTTGTGTTTTGTTTTTGCCATGTATCCAAGAGATACATAGCAACATGGAATTTTTTCCTATCACCACATGCATATAGCGTAGCATGACCTGTTGATTTGAGGAATCTTTCTGTTAAATTTTGGAACCATTTCTAAAAGTAAAAATTATCTCCCATAAGTGGTTCATAGCAATTAACATTCAATAAACAGTGATGCTGGAAAGCACTTTATATATAAATGAAAAGGAAAGACATGGTAAAATTTAAGTCTTACAAACTGAAAGAAAAGCATTGCAAGTTAAAGCAAGAAAAGTGGAAGTATTGAGGTGAGAATCAATGTAACAATTTCAGACCCAACAGATAAATTACTAATTAGATGGAGTCAAACTAATCTCTCCTTGTCACTACTCCAATTGTTTCTGCCTGCTCAATACTTTGGGCAGAATGATTGTGCTCTGGATTCCCTCAATTAAATGTTGTTATATTGTGGGATTGAGGAAATGTGCCATTTCTATTGCTCCTTCTGGCCTCTGGAGCAGCATTCTTCCAGAGATACGGATGATACCCAGTCCCCAGGAATTCCAAAAAGCCCTTAACAAGGGCTTTGTTCCCAGGTCTGGGATTAATGTGTCTATGAGGCTAATCATGTCTTTATTGTTATTATTAATTTGGGCTGTCCCTTTTGTTTTATATTTTTGAATGTTTTAACTCTGCATTTACATTGTGTAGACTGCCCGAAGTAGACTGGGATGGACAGTCATAACAAATTATACAGTTAGTCAGATGTTTAGACTGGATTTGGCATTTAATCTACCTACCAAATCCTTCCCAAGGATCTGGAATAGGCAGATGTTTGATGGTATTGAAGGTATCATCCCAAGATGTTTCAAGTAAAATTGCCTTTTGCAATTGACTAGTTACAATTTTGTCAATGCCAATGATGTTCAAGTGGTGTTCCAGATATTTTAGGATTGAACCCAAGGCATTTACTATTATTATCTTTGCTTCCTTTTGCCACAGTCATTCTACTTCTGTTTGCAAGTCTTCATTGTATTTCTCCAGTTCTTCCTCTTGTCTTCTGCTATCTTCAGATACTGTAATATCCACTATACAAACTATTTTGTCTTTCTGATTGACAATTGTTAAATCTGGGAGTTATGGCAGATGCCTGTCTGTTTGAATTCTAAAGGCCCAAGGAAGGCACTTTAGCATTTTCATTTTCTATGACTTCTTCTATTTTGTGGTCCCACTAGTTCTTGCTTGCAGGCAAATGGTCTTTCTTGCAGATATCTTTGTCATCCTGTTTGTAATTAGCCTGTGTGATCTTCTTGCAGCAACTAACTCGGTGGTCCATTATTTCTTCAGCTTTTTTACAGAGGCGGCATTTGCTGTCTGTTGCTGTCTTTTCAGTTTTGGCTTTGTATGCATTCGTTCTTCAGGCATGATCTTGTGCAGTCTCTTTCTTCAATTTTCCTCTCTTAGCGGTTGCCAGATCTTGTGGTTATGTACTTTGCCTGCCATTTCTTTCACTGCACTGACTATGTAATACTTTATTTTTCCATGTTGCTTTTCTGTTGTTCATTTGATCTTTCTTGTAGGCCAGTTCGGTCTTGGAAAGAGACAGTAAGCCTTCATGGTAGCTTCAGTGCATCTTCTTTACTATCAAATTTTCTTCCATTGCCCTTTTTTCTTCGTCACCTGTCTCATGTATCTGCAATCTTCCATGCCTTCTTATTTTTCCTTGGTTAGTAAAATTTGGTGCTGCCTGGAGGAAGGGCATGATTCATTGTCATTATATTTGGGGCTTCCTATCTAGGGCTTTTAGGTTTGATTGAGTCCAGTCCATTATTCCAGCTGTGTATCTAACAATTGAAATTACCAAAGTGTAAATTTTTTTATGGTATTTCTGCCTCTGAGTTTGGATTTAAGATCCTCTTCACTCTCAAGTTGTATTTATTTCTAACTTTCTACTTGACTTCAGCATGTTGTCAGCTTGAAGTCATGGTCTTCATCCAGACTCTTGAGGTTATTTCCATAGGGCATCTTGATTCCTTACTTTTTATTACCTTTCTTCTGTTGATGAAGAGGATGGCATATATGTCCAGTCCAAACTACCTTGCAATATCTTGACTGTTTAGTTGGTCACTGTTAAGTAGCAATTCTATTCTAAATGGTGTTTTTACATGGCCATGTAAAGGAAGTGGGATAGTCTGGCAGATGTTTTTTATATTTGAACTTATCTTTTGTTCCTTTGCTGTTTGGGCAATTTCCTTTCTGCTAAGGTGGAAAGAGCTTGTTTTAAACTAAATGCTGTTGGGCTGCATCAGCTGTCACATTGGTTAGCAATTTGAAAGTTGTTGGAAAGCAGGTAATTGGCCTCTAGTTGCTTGGTGCAATCCCTTTTGTTAGGTCTTTCATTATCAGATGAAAGTTTTGCCAGATGTTAACCAATCTTCCATTTCCTGTCCTTGCAGTATGTTGTTAAACTGCTTGGCAATGAGTCATTATAGACCAATCAGATGTTTCAATCAAAAACCATGCAATTCATCTTTCCTGGTACTCACCATTTCTTGATCTTCCTTGCAATTTTCTCTTGTACTATTTCTGCTATTACTATAAGTTATTTCACTCCAGCTTCTTTTTATTCTTATCCACCTCCTTTGTCTAAGGTGCATACAAATTATATATTTTTGGATTGTTCCATAGCTGCTCCAGGAACTGAGCTGGCTTTTCTTTGTCAGATGCTGATTGGTTTACTTCCGTTTCTCCATCGATGGATTGGTAGAAATTTTTCAGATTCAATTGAAATTGAAGATTCTGCAGTGTGGAATTTGAGCATATCTGCTCATCATCTTGGCTATAGCTATTATTTGCTGCCTTATTATTTTTAGTGCTTTCTTAGTTTTCCTTGTTTCTAGGAGATGTTTCTTGATTAGGTCTTTTTGTTCTTCAGCTTCTTTTCTTTCATCTGTTGTATCTTGCTGATCTTGTTTTCTAGTCTAATCTTCCATCTTGGTGGTACATTATTTGACTTTTTTTTTCTTTGTTGTTTTTGCATCACAGGTGTTCAGTTATAATTGCAACCATGATGTACATCAGTTGGTTTATTTCTTGTAATGAGCTGGTGCATATGTTTGATATTACAGTATTGGCATCTTTTAATGCTTGTTCAAGCTGCTTTTTTTAACAAGCTTCAATCAGGCAAACTTATTCTGTTGCTTTTGTGCTATTCTAGATGCTCAGTTATTCTTCATTTCCGTTCCTCCTGTATTTTTCATTTAGGGGTTTCTTTGTTTTTAAGAAGTTAGGGGAGAGGGTGCCTGGTTTGAAAATGAGAATGGTTTAATATCTAGTCTAGCTTCCTCTACCAACAACTCTCCCTTGTTTGTCTCTATTGTCTTAGCTACTTCCGGTAAAGCTTAGCTTTCTTTGGCCTGGACAGACCTTTGCAGTTCTACTAATTCTACTTTTCTGAGTATCTTATTTCATATTACAAATTGATGCTGATTTGCCAGCTGCTGTTCTTTTATTTCTGATTCTGATGTTCTTTCCAGAATTGGTGGATCCTTTTTCAAATATCCCCTTTTTAATAGGATTTGTAGTAGCAAATCATTATTTCTTTGTTTTCAGTTTTTTTTTATATTTGCAATGGATAAGAATTTTTTTCTTCCAGTAGTTCTGCAGCTGCTGGCCCTGGTTGCTCAGCCAACAGTCTGAATCCTGTAGTCCACTTGTCACCAGATGTCCAGAAACTCCAACACCCAACATAGTCTTATTGACCCAAGTAATAACTGATCCAATATAGGTTTCTGTAAGTTATGTCTCACTATATTGTTTATGGGAGAGACACTCTTCATCTGGTTCTTCTGATGACATTGTCCAGGATGGTTGAAAGTCTAGTATAGCTCTCACGTTTCTCAGAACATGCTAGCAACACAATCACATCAAGGTAAAGGGATGATTTATTATCTTTATTAGCTATTCAACAGCCTTTGGTTCTTCATTGGTGACATTCAATTAAGAAATATTACTTTGATGTTTGTTGGCTAAATTACACCATTCACTTATCAGACCACAAGTAACTTTTGTCATATTGCATTATAATTATAAGGTTCTACAAACTTCAGATTTTTTGCCCAAATTAAAAGAAAAAAGTTGAATATCTGTATACCTGATTTGAAAAAAGAGAAGTTTTTAATTTGTATTTATAATCTAAAAAAAAGCTTGCCTTTCCAATTTGTAATATTAACTCTGTAGTTTCAATGAAGACATTTATTAGCTGTGAGAACTAAAAGAGCTTGAAACCAAACACACTTTTAAATTTGTTTGAGGAAAACTCCAGAGTAGATCTGAGACTACAGAGTAGATCTAAGAGTATGCTCTGCTACTTATTTCCTTTTCTGTTTGTTTGATATATGATATCTTTTTTCTCCCTATAGGAAACCATCATAGGAGGCCTTTTACCAGAAACTACCTATTCTGTCAGCATCGCGGCCTATACCACTAAAGGGGATGGGGCCCGCAGCAAGGCCAAAGTGATTGCTACAACTGGAGCAGGTAAGCCATTTGTTCTACAAGATGCCTCAATGGACAGGCCCACTTTATTATCTTTTTTAAGCTGCTTGAATCATTGATATAGTTGGAGTCATGGCAGAAATTTAAATCTTCAGAAAAATTGGGAATATTTGAAAGTTCTATCCCTTTTACCTCATCTGTAGACTATTTGCAAGTAGTAGTGAATGGAACTAAACTAAATACAGACCTCTGTTCCCCAAAGGCCACTTCATCCTGTCTAGGTATTAGAAACCAGCAGTTGTCTCAAACAGAACCGGAATACAATGATACTGTTGTGTTAATTATTGGTAATTGATACTGTATCCCTCATCTTTTATTAGCTCTCATAGTTAACAGTTTTTTTGTAGATTCATTTGCCATGAATTGCCTTTTTTCAAAAACCATCTACCCTGTTTCTCCAACAATATGGCCTCCCCCAACAGGAAGTCCCAGCATGTTTTATAGGCATGAAATGAAATTAAGCCCCTCCCCCCAAATTAAGGCCTATATTAAAATATGCGAAATGGGGGCGAATGGTGGGGGGGGCTTGCCATTAGGAAGCACTTTTGTTGCACACCTGGATATGGTGCTGCCTGCGTTGACCCTGATACGAAGTGCCCCACCAACGCTGAGGTCAACATCCAAACCATCGCCGCCCGCCCGCCCGAAGATGCAAAGGGGGGGGAATTAAGTCACCCCCGAAAAGACGCCCTAGCCATTTTTTCGGGGCTCAAAAAAAAATAAGACCCAGCCTTATTATATGAGAAACATGGTATCTTGGTGGCCATTACCACATTTCATAGTAAGGATAGCTCTAAGTTGTCTACCTGAAGCATATAGTCATCAGTTGACATTCATGGTCCTATACACTGTTTTGTCTGTTCTGATCCTATCTATAATTCATTGAATTATCTCAACTTTAGTATACCAAACAGGGAGAAGAAATTATATGTCCTTACAAGGTACATAGTGATAAACATATATTTTCATTTAGACGCCTTCTGTTTGTGTCTGTCATTCCTAACCTTTCCTTTATCCTGGATCACCACAACAGCTTTTAATCAACACAATATGACCAAGACCTGACAACACTGTCTTTATATACACCATGCAGCACAGAATTTTTTTGCATAATGCCATACTTCAGATAACCAAAAATTTTTAAAAAAATTAACACCAACTTTTAAAAAATATTGAAATTGTCAACATCAAGCATGAATAATAAAATTGTACAGTGTTAGAATTAGTGGCCTCCTGAGACTTTTAATTAAAAAAAAATCTTTTAGTATCTGTATTAGTATATATCCATATTAGATTCTCAATCCACCAGTGATGCCTTAGATTGGAAACCACTGAAGTATACAATTGTAATGAGTTAAATGATGTCTAGGATTCAATCGTATCTTCTGAGCTGTGTTTCTGAATAATTACTTAACTCTGTTGACCTGTTTGGAAATGATATTTGAAAAAACTACGAAAACAGAAGAGTACTGAAATTGGTTGCAGTACAGAAATTGTTACCTTTGTTTAAGGAAATGCTGCATTTCTTATGCCTGTTCCTTCTTCCTACCTAAATAAGCACAAACAAACAGATGGTGGGAATGGAACTCGGGGACACACAGAGATCCTAGAAAGCACACTAGGATACAGTTGGATCTGCCTGCTCTAATCAAGATTTGTAGTTACAGTCTTATCCAGGTATATCTAATGAGACAATGCAGAGCTTTTTAAAGAACTTTCTGTAGTAGTCTCTTGTTTTGGAATGATGCCTAGTTGTTTACAATATGCTAATTTGTGTTGGTTTCAGATTTTGCTCTTTTTAAAAACTTGGCAGATTAAATACAATGAATGAAAAGATTATTTATTTCTGTCTTAGTATTTGCCAAATTTCAACAGACTTAAAAAAAATTTCATTGAAGAATATACTAGTTCAAGAAATGTTAATGTAATGGTAGAAAGAGAAGCCAAGTGAGAACAAGAGAGATGGGGAATATCTTTGGAGCATTGTTGTCATACAAAAAGTGTGGGTTAGTCTCTTCTGATCTAATATATGCCAGGTAGTCAGACAAAATTTTAGATTAGTTCCAAGTTCTACAAAATCATTCCATAGAAACTTTTTTAAAATCCCTCCTTGTGCCATTCTTAGTGCTGCCCTCTCTTAGTTTCTCTGTCATATCAATTCTGTTCATCCTACCAACAGGGTATCCAATTAAGCAAGTAAAGTTTGTTAAAACATTTTCCATAATCTAAATGGCTTTCACAGAGGAACTTCATCATCATAACTTAGCTAAACCTACTTAAACCGTATGTGGAATATTACTGTGCTGTTGTTTGTCTCTGGGTGCCACAATCCAACACAGGCTAATGCTTATTTTGGCAGTAAACAGGCTCTGAATAGTTCTGCTGTGGTTGGATTTACACATCAATTTCACCTGATGAGGGGGAAAGAGATGTGTCTATTGTGGGTGTAACTGAGATATGAAACCATCCATTTTATACAGCAGGTGTTAAGCTTTGATGGGAGCAGCCCTTAATTTGTACTGCACATACAAAATTTGGCATCAGGTTTTTGCACAGCCATCACATCAGCATTCCTAGCAGGAACCAGTTCATCAGCTTAAACACAGTGTATTTTGATTGCCAGCAGCATGCTACCCTCTCTCAGGAGCTCACACAGGTGGTGAAATTATAACTGCTACTGTGAAATTTCTCTGCATCAAACTAGCAGGGATTCCAAAGCCGAGTCTGGACATGTCCTCAGTAACTTATACTAGTAACCAAATAGCTATATTATAATTATACTTTTTACCTTGTTCAAACTATCCAAGATTGCATTATCTACATTTTGACAAATGCTGAGATTCAAGGAATGCTCGGATAGTTGGATAGATGCATTGAGATTTAAGACAGAGTTGGATAAGCAATTCAAAGATACTGATTTTGGTTGTAATATGGATAATTGTTAATTTTGGATATATTTATAAAGCTAATTATCTTCTGCATTTTAAATGATTTGTGGTACAATTTGGTTTCTTCTGCATGTTGCTACATCACTTAATAACATGCCAGGTTAATAATTATTCTTTTTTCCTGGAGTTAAAGGGTCCGCCATCCCATAAAATAAAGCCTTGGACAAAATTATTTATTTTTATTTAAGTATGGAATACAGAGAGTAGTAAAAACTGAACTACCCATTCAGGATTACAATGAAGAACAGCTCTTCCTGGGCAGAACCACTTCAGGGCACTTTGGAAGTTGGGAAGATTTTTCCCACATGCACCATCCTGGGTGCACAAAATGCTTTTAACGTTCTAATTCATTTAAGTATGGGATTATTTATCTCCAATCTGATGTAGCATAATGTTGGCAAAATCTATGTAGATGCTGGGATTCAGTTTGTGGTTCATCTCTAATGCTGTTGGAGTGCTTCAAGATTTAAATTTCGCTTCCATTCATAGCCTAATACCCTGTTTTTGTTCTACAGTCCCAGGCAAACCTACCATGATGATCAGTACAACATCTATGAACACTGCCCTAATCAATTGGCTCCCACCCAAAGAGATGGTTGGAGAGCTCTTGGGCTACATGCTGCGATACAAATGTGCTGATGAAGAGAAGATGATAGTAATTCAGTTTGGAAAAGATGACGATCACTACACTGTGACCAAACTTTACAAGGGTGCCACTTACATCTTCAAATTGTCTGCAAAGAATAGGGCAGGTCCTGGGGAGGAGTTTGAGAAGGAAATAAGTACTCCAGAGGAGCCACCAAGTGGCTTCCCCCAGAACCTGGAGGTGGTTGGGCTTACCACCTCCACCACTAAAGTGACCTGGAATCCACCACTGCTGGCTGAGAGGAATGGAAAAATTACTAACTATACAGTTGTATACAGAGACATAAACAGCCAGCAAAACCTGACCAATGTTACTAAGGAACAAAGTATCACTCTGACCAATCTCAAGTCTGATACAACTTACGACATCAGAGTTAGAGCCCACACTAGCAAGGGAGCGGGACCTCTCAGCCCCAGCATTCAATCAAGAACAATGCCAATGGAACAAGGTAGGCACCTCTTGCTGTGGTCAGATTCTGAATTCCTATGGTAGAAAATGGGTGAAAAACATTCCATCTAGTCTTACCTTATCTTATTCAAGTCTTAATATACTTTATAAGGGGTATAAGAGGAGGGTAGGGATAGGCAGAGGGTTGCAATGATTGATTTTCCAGATCAAATACATATCCCATTGTTTCTGTGTAAATGAACATTATATCACAACCGATGTCATGCAAACTTCAAAAAGGAATTTCTTTAAGGAACCAGTACCCAGTAACTCTTCTCTTTTGACTTTTTGTAATGAAGAGCCAAAGGAACAAATGAAAAACCTGTGCTAGTTTAAACCTAAGATGTGAAGGATTGGATAACAGTTGCCTTTAGTTGTTCCTCTGACAATGCTCAAGAGAAGTTTTTTTAATTGCAGTGTTCGCAAAGAACTTCCGTGTCAGTGCAGTGATGAAAACCTCAGTGCTACTTAGTTGGGAAGTACCTGATTCTTATAAATCGGCAGTACCATTCAAGGTAAGGAACTATTCAACAGCCAGGATGGAAACCTTATCTAAGAGTAGTAATTACTGTAGAGTCTTCCATGCAGTCCTAAATCTGACTTTGATTTGATAAAAGTGATAAGGGATCAGACTATTTATCTGAAACCAGTTGTTTTGTTGCCATCAGGTCACTGTTTGTTGAAACCACCTAAGCATGTAACCCAGATAGACAAATCAGGATTTTGGCAGCACAATGCTGTGTCTTAGCTGCCGCAGAGCTACTTACACTTTCTCATTCCTACCTGTTTTAAGTCTCAGTCACTAAAATGTAGCAACCAACAGCTAGGCTGACTATGCCTATTTAGAAAGGAAGACAGCAAGCCTATAAAATTATAAGCAAAATTGTGATGAGAGAACAAACTGTATGTCCACTTATAAAAAATGTAACAATAGAGAGAAATACTAGATGAGTACTTACTAGGCTGATAAAGGTAGCCCTACCTTCCCATATGCACACACATATTTCTGTGATTTCTGCGCCATCTCAGAAAGTTCAAACTGCCCAAAGAGTTGCTGATACAGTTCTACAGAGGAATTATTGAGTCTATCATCTGCACCTCTATAACTGTCTGATTCTGTTCTGCAACCCAATAAGACAGACACAGACTCTAGAAAGTAATTAGGATTGCAGAAAAAACAATTACTACCCACCTGCCTTCAATTGAGGACCTGTATACTGCACGAGTGAAAAAGAGGGCTGTGAAAATATTTACAGGCCCCTCACATTCTGGACATAAACTGTTTCAACTCCTTCCCTCAAAACGATGCTATAGAGCACTGCACATCAGAACAACTAGACACAAGGACAGTTTTTCCCTGAACGCCATCACTCTGCTACACAAATAATTCCCTCAACACTGTTCAACTATTTACAAAGTGTACACTACTATTACTATTCTCACCACTCCTTATCACCCATCCCCTCCCACTTGTGACTGTATGACTGTTACTTTGTCGCTTGTATCCTTACAATTTATATTGACTGTTTCCTAATATGATTTGATTGCTTATTGTACCCTATGACTATTATTAAGTGTTCTACCTGATGATACTTGACTCTTGACGAATGCATCTTTTCTTTTATGTATACTGAAAGCATTTGCACCAAGACAAATTCCTTGTCTGTCCAATCACACTTGGCCAATAAAGAATTCTATTCTATTCTTTCTGTCTCTTACTGATACCTTAAGGAGACCTGGGATGGGAGTTATCTTTACAACTAGCAGACCCTGGCAGCATCAGCTGCCCATAGCAAACTATTTAGTTTTGTATTAAATTTGAAAGCCTCCAGGGAAAAGATAAAGAGTCAGAATCTTGCATCAGATGTTGTATTTATGTCTCCCACTTCCTTTCCACCCAGATCATTGTGCCATCATGTAGACTCCTTGGAGGACAGTCAAATCAGTCTCATGTCTGGATGTACTTTCACTTCCAAATTTCCTGCAAGAAATCAGAGCAGAACTATCATATCTGGGCTACAAAAGCCTGGACTTTAATTGGATGGCAGCAAAGAGATGCCATTTTTATGAATGCCTGGAGGTTTACAACCCAAATATGCTAAACTTACAGGAAGGCAGACATGAGCCGATGAAAATGGCAGGCAAATTGGGAGCCACCACAGCAAAGACAGGGAAAGTATTTACAAAATCCAGACTGTCTGGCATAATTCTGGACATCTGACCACTCTAAACAATGCCTTAGAGCAAGATAAAGGATCTTGGTATAAAGTTGTGCCTGCTGACCTTGCTAGCAGTGGGTGGATATACTGTGAGAGTTAAGCCAAAAGGTTCTCAGAACAGAGGTGCAAATTATGTCAACAGTCAGTAGTATTCAGGTTCAGGGCCACGAAGTACAAAGAAAAAAATCAATGGAAGCATAGAAAAGGCACAAAGAAGCATCAATGGGTGTAAAGTCCCAGGAGTATAAGAAAGGAACTGTACCTTCACCGTGACAGACAAGAATCAACTGTTTAATAAGCCTCCTAGGTTGCAATAAAGATTTGTATTTAGTCACACTATGTTGAATGTACAGAGAACCGCTGCTGTAGATTAAGCTTCCTGGAGGGAGTAAGGTAGATGACCTTGACAGAGATATGTAACTTCTGTTGCCCAGCCAAGCCTGTTAAAATCAGGATTTAAAGATTTACAGCTGAGTCCTAGACTGGGAAGGCTGACACATTTATTAATAGTGGATTCTGTGCTGGGATTTCCTCATTTCCAGTTCCACAGATCCAATGTGTTCTTAATTGAAGTAATGAATTATCAAGATACTACAGTATGTAAAGTTCAGAAGGTCTGCCTAGGTTAATATAGCTTAGGCTGCTGATGAGGATTAAGTTAGAGTTGACAGCAATTTCTCCTGCAAGCTGGCCACATGGAGGCTTGGGAGAGGAGATGCTATTGGGTTGCTAACTATAGAGCAGACATGCAATTATAAGAAGTGTAAATGAGCTTCCTTACGCCTATTGCTGATTCTAGATGTGCAGGTTGTGTGCAGGGTTAGGTACAGAAGGAATAACTGGCCTGGATATGATCAGTGAAGCAGGAATATTCCAAATAAGGCTCCCCATATACCCAACTGTTCAATTCACACATGTAGAATGCCATGCCAAATCCTAATAATAAGCACTGCTGATAAATCTCCATGGGAACAATTAGCATTATATCCACTTGATGAACAGTTGTACACTAAATCTACACCCCAAAGAGAGTCCTCTTTCTCTTTAACAGATTTGATTAAAGTATATATTGTCCAGATTATAACATGGAGGTGTACGATAAACCTCATGATTTTTCTTTCTTTCTTTTAATGGGGGAGAACTGGGACCTTTGAAAATTCTTTCCTGAAAATCAATAGTGAAGTTTTCAATTTTTTCTTTCTTTCTTTTAATGGGGGAGAACTGGGACCTTTGAAAATTCTTTCCTGAAAATCAATAGTGAAGTTTTTCAGTTTTTTCCAGCAACAACCATTATTTCATCTGGACCAGGAGATAAATTCCCTGCCAAAAAAAAAAAGTCTGATCTGGTGGAGTGAATGAGTAGTGGCATTATGATAAGATGTTTGTTGAACCTGATGTCCATAATGTAAGAGTGCTTCTTCCCCTCTTAAAGGAATGTTAGATATATGCTTTCGTGTGAAATGTTACTGATTTTACACATTTTCATGAGATTGTAAGTAGAATATCCTGGGATATATAGAGCAGCGGTCCCCAGTCTCTTGGACATGAGGGACCGGTTCTGTGGAGAAAGGTTTTTCCACAGACCGGAGGGAGTGCAGTTTTGCATGCTGCCTGCACTCCGCGGATGGGGCTTTGCTTGATTGCACAGCCCAGTTGCTGGCATGCCGCTTGATCGGCGCTGGTCCACAGATCGGGGGGGTTGATGACCCCTCATAGATATTGGCTTACCATCCACAATCTTAGTTTTTAGAAGTATTAGTTGTTTATTTAAGAAACAGAGGAGGGGTTTTTGATCGCTTTTGTTGCTTTGCCACAGCTAGACTATAGTTAAAGATGGAATCAAAGTTGAAACAGAGACAGCTCACTATATTCCAGATGTCTGGAATTATCTGGGCAAGTCTGCATCAGCCATGAAAGCAAAGGAATTTTTATTGTCTCTCTATATCTGTCTTTCTCTTAACAACATAAAATTAAAACATAAAAAAATCAGTAACAAAACCTTTATTTTTTATTTTCTTTCTTATTTAGTCCTTATTTTTGTTTCTTTTCTAACAATTTTGTTGATTTTATATTTAAAAATCAGTAACAAAGCCAAAGAGGCAGCATGAATTGCTGTTTCTTCCAAAGACTGGCACAATGAAGATTCTGAGTACCACCTTCTGAAGTCATCCATTCAAATAGGAATCGTCAGAGTATATTGCAGTCTATGGAAACAAAACCTGCTTTAAGTTCCAAAGTAAACCACAAAGTATTTGGACAACAATGTTCCCACAAAATCATTATAATTTCAGTTTAAGAACTAGATCTAGAGCCCAGTTGAAGTGGAATTAGAAAATTAGTGCTATCTGAATATTGAGAAACTCCCAAGATAAATACCTCATTTTAGTAGCTTTTACATTTAAAGTCAGTTTTCACTTATTATCAGAAGATCACAGGCAAGACCCAACTTGGAGATAGAAATTTGGTGAAAAATTTCATTACTTTCCTAGGTGAAAATGTCCAAGTATGAAATCCAATACTTTATTTGCTTTGCTTTCAGATTCTATACAATGGGCAGACTGTGGAGGTAGATGGACATTCTATGAAGAAGCTGATTAATTACTTGCAGCCAGACACAAATTATTCCTTTGCACTTACAAACCGGGGAAGTAGTGCAGGCGCATTACAACATCGGGTCTTCATCCGGACATCACCTGATGTTTTCCAGACAAAGCCTGTTTCCCCATACAAATATATCCATAATGGACAGTTCACCATCACCCTCCCCAAAGTGAAGACTTCTGTGCCAGTCAGGTATACTCTTTCAACGTCTCTGATTCCTTCTGATACTGATCCGTCACTATGTTCTGACCCTCCAAAAACACAATGTAATAGGGTTAGTACTGTATTTTCCTACTCAGATTAGATAATCCCTGCGAAGTGAATATATTTTTGTATGGGCAGTAAGATGGTATCACTGGGAATCATGTCAGATTTCATAGACTCTGATTAATTGTGTGAGTTCAACTACAAAATGCCCTAAAATATATCCAAATAGCGAGGACAAAATACAAGAGATTAGTGTATAGGATTTGAAGCAGCAACCTATTAGGATTCTGATTCTGGACTATTATTTTTCTGTACCACATGTTGCTTCTTTGAATTATTTATTCTTTATGGTAATTAAGCCCATAAAGCCATAATCTCCCTTTCTTTCCTTTTAAAGGACCCAAGATGACCTTATTCTGCCCAATTACTTGAGTAATGAATATAAATCATTTACAAAGCTTGTTGAAGTCTTATTCGTGTTTATGGTTCTGTAACATACCACTGAAATTGGTACTCAGCTGTAAAAAAATTAAGCTTTACAACATTATTTCTCTAATTCATGACAATCTGAAGAATATAAAGAAAATGAAGCAGTCAGGGACCATTACAGGGATTTTATGGAGGGTATTCCTTTATATCTAGAAGAACTCACTTTTCCTCTCTTCTTCTTCGTCCTCCTCCACAGGTCGTACTACATTGTGGTAGTACCAATAGAGCACACAAGCAGGATGCTCGCCTCCAGACTGAAGAGTCCCGATGAGATGGAACTGGACCAGGTATGAGAAGAAAGAAATATGCTACTGCAGGGGGTTCTCAGACTTCTTAGTTGAGAGGTGAATGTGTGATCACTCGAAGTCAGGTGCGTCCGACCCATGGCCTGCTATCCACACACAGCCCTGGACAGCTAATAATGCAGTCCCGCAAGATAATAGAAATATTTTTAAAGGAAGTTTGTTATTTAGATAGATTAATTATGTGGCCCAAGACTATTCCTTTTCATTTGGTATGGTTCGAACAAAGTAAAAGTTTGGACAACCGTGCACCTAAATGATAAATATGCGTGATTCACCTCATTAATAAAACACAATAATTGAATAACTGCATTAGTTAGGAGTAGGTTTCTGAGTGCAATTCAAAATGCTGTTAATACCTTTAAAATTTAATGGCCTGAGGTTATCTAAAAAGGCCACTTTTGCCTGATAAAAGCTACCCATACAACCAGGGGTGGGATACAACAGGGTTAACTACCGGTTCAGGATTTACGAGCTTCCCTGTACGCTGGAGCCACGCACCTGTAAATTGTCATCAGCATGCTGCATGCAGAGAAGCAGCCTTTGAAACAGCCCTCTTTTCCTGCTTTTTAAACTGCAGCTGTGCCTCGCTCGGCAGCTGAAGTTGAAAAATCAGGAAATAAAGATCCGGTAAGAGCCCAGGTGGGCAAAAATATCAGCAGACGTAGAACCAGTTCTATGTCTGCTGCTCTTCAGAGCTACTGGTTCTACAGAGGTGGACAGAAACAGTAGAAACCCACCCCTGCATACAACACAGGCAATATCTGCTCAGGACATCAATGGTTTGGGGGGGGAGGGGGGGCTACCCTCCAAGGTAAGAATATTCCCTATTCCAGTGGTCTGCTACAAACTTGTAAAGACCCATCTTTTCCAAAGGGCCTTTGAGCATTATCCAAAGGCTATATACTAAACAGAGAAGGTTATAGCAGTCATATTCACCAGCCCTGTGTGCTGGAGATAGTAGTATTGACAGAGAATTTGGCATTTTCTGAAGCTGGATATCCTTGTTTTTGCATGTGTGAGATTATTCCCCTAGGACAGCAGGGTTTATCACCATCTCTTAATGTTCTTAGAAGCACTAACTTCCTCAAATGCCCATTAACTCCAACTAAATCTAAAAATTGCCTGCAATTTTAACTTGAAAGAAGTCATTATGCTAGAATTCCCAGAGGTGTTACTGCATTTATGGAGCACACTTCATTTCCTTCTGCATTCTATTTCACAATCTCTCTTTCAAGCAAAAAGATTGTACTCTGGATGTGTGTGTATTTGACCTCAAAAGATAGGACTTGAAGACCTTTGATCAAGGAAGTACTAATACCACTCTATAAAGCCTTAGTAAGACCACACCTAGAGTAGTGCATCCAGTTTTGTTTACCACATTATAAAAAAGATGTTGAGACTCTAGAAAAAGTACAGAGAAGAGCAACCAGGATGACTAGGGGACTGGAGGCTAAAACATACAATGAATGGTTGCAGGAACTGGGCTTGGCTAGTCTAGTAAAGAGAAGGACCAGGGGAGACACCATAGAGGTCTTCCAATATTTGAGGGGCTGCCACAGGGAGGAAGGGGTCAAGCTATTTTCTAAAGAGCCTGTAGACCAGACAAAGAATAATGGATGAAAACTGAACAAGGAGAGATTTAACCTGGAAATAAGGAGAAACTTTCTGACAGTGAGAACAATCAACCAATGTAACAGCTCGCCCTCAGAAGTTGTGGGAGCACCATCACTTGAGACTTTCAAGAAGAGATTGGACTCCCATCTGTCAGAAATGGTGTAGGGTCTCCCGCTTGGGCGGGGGGTTGGACTAGATGACCTACAAGGTCCCTTCCAACTCTAATTATCTGTTATCTGTTACCCAGTGTATGGATGCAAAGCAACAGTATCATTCTAGAGACCAAAAGTCAACAGCCTCTGTCCCTAATACTGTATAATAGCATAATTTTATATAACTTCTGTCTTTTGGGCATCATATTTGCTCTGCTGCTGTATATTTTTTTTTATCATTTTGTGTGAAATATATGTTGTGCCTTTCTTCACTTTAAATTAGAATTTCCATTTCAAACCCTAACAATCATTTGTATTCATTAGAAAAGCACACTCAAATATCTGAGAGCCTGTATAGCAATGTAATTAAATTCCTGATATGTTTATATCATTCTTATGAATTTATGGGTGACTATGATATTCAGGTTTTTTTAATCTGGATCCCCTATGAAATCTGTTAGTACCATACAGAATTTTATATTTAAAAATATATAATGCAGACATACAACATGGAAAAATATAATATGCCTGACAGTACTCCAGACTGCAAAGTACGCTTGTTCGGTAAGATAAATCCAACTCAAAGCCTGTCAAACTATTATTTTTCTCTGTAAGTTCAAATTAATGGGCTTCCACAATCGATATTTTGGAAGCTATAATCTAATTTCCAACCTTCCCTTTGTGGTTAAAGTGGTTGGATAGGAGTTATAAAGGGCTTTGGAGGAAGTAGATACCTGGACTAATTTCAGTGGGGTTTCAGGCCAGGATATAGTAGCACCGGTTGTGCCTTTGGCATATTTGGGGTGGAGATGCTGGATCCATCCTCATGTGCCTTGCTTTCTTGGCAACTTTCAGTACTCTTTACCAGTATCCTTATGGACTAGTTAGGCAGATTAGAAGAGGGGGTACTGTGCTACAGTAGTTCATCTCCTTCCTCGGTGGTCAGTACCATTTGGTGTTGAAAGGAAGGTCCCTCAAAGCTTGATGCTCTCATTCCTCCTGCTTAATATTTACATCAGATTGCTGGGGGAGGCAGCCTAGACTGAAAAAACAAAGTGGATCTGCCTCTTTAGCACTCCGACGCTTCCCCATCTCAGATATTTTCATCTTTGGTCTTAAGTGGGCTTGTACCTTTCCCATTTGAGACTAGTCTGGAAATCCTCTGGGACTCAGAAGTAATGCTCAAACAGTAAATAGTCGGGGTTTTTTAATATTTATTTATTTTGATTTGTCAATCGCTTACAAGATAATAGGTATAAGTATATACATAGTTATGAATACATGAAATGGATACATATAATTAAAATAAAAGAAACAATAGGACAGGGATGGTAGGCACGTTGGTGCGCTTATGCACGCCCCCTACAGGCCTCTTAGGAAGGGGGTGAGGTCCATCAGGGCCTCTGCATACCTTGTGTCCCGCTTGCACCTTTTCCTCAATCAGGCAGAAATTCAGATGGTCACTCATATCCTACTCACCTCACATTTGGACTAGTACCATATGTTTTGTGTGAAGCTGCCCTTGACATATATAACTGCTCCTATTTTTCAAGTCTTGCAAGTCTTCCACAAGTCTCTTTAAAACCTGGCTCTGTTTCCAGACCATCTTTTTCTGGAAAATATTTATGTCGTATATAGTGCAGTGTGTTTGTTTTTTTAAATAATTCTTTTAAATGTTGTAAACCCTCCAGAATCTTTTTTGGAGTTGAATGGCCTTGAAACCCATTGTGTAAGCCGCCTCGAGTCGCCATGAGTGAAAAGGTGGCAATATAAATTAAATAAATGTTTGCATTGGGTATTGTCAATTGCTTACTGCCCTAAGCTCTTTTTTCCTTTTTCTTCATACAATAACCGGTTACCTTGTCTTCTATAGGAGGGGACTCATGTTGGTCTATGGTGGCACAAAGTCAGGAGCACCTTTTTTGGTTAACAAATGTTATTAAAAGCATCAGTTTTTGTGAAGTGCAGTCCACAAAGGTATCTGGCAGGACGATTTCTTACATAAGCATTCTTTGACTCTCCAGCTACTTGAGGCCATAAACCAAGGGTCCATAGAAAGGCGCCAGCGTCGACAAGCAGAACGCCTCAAGCCTTATATCGCAGCCCAAGTGGAAGAACTGCCAGAAACATTTGTTTTGGGAGATGAAAAGAATTATAAAGGCTTCTTTAATAAGCCACTTTCAGAAGATTTGAGCTACCGTTGTTTTGTGCTGGCTTCACTGGAAGATGGTGATACGGTAAGAACACTTGAAAGAAAAAAGGACAGTTACAGAGTTAGCATTATTGGATTATTGACATAGTGGAGATGTGGAAGATTTTCCTTCTACTTGCCTGTCCATGTAAGCATCTGCATTGTCTTTTGTTGCATCCTGATGTGGATGAGCGAGAGCAAAGTAAGAGTAATAGCGTGCTCTACTGTGTGAAATGTGTAAGTAATGTCCAACATAATGAAGATATTTGGGTCTTTCTGTTCTGTCCCATGCTATGGCTCTTACTTTCAGCCTCATTTACTTGTAATGGCTCGTTAGAGCTGGTCAAATGCTCCATTACTCACCCAGTCTGAACACTTCAGTGACGGATATAGCAAATGTGCAACCAAGTTGGGAGGGTGAAGGCTCTGAGCAGCCAGCTGAGGTCAAGTTGTGGATTACGGTATACAAGAGTGAATGTACTAAGGCACTCATAGCTAGCCGAGCGCACTTTCCAGGCATTTGGTATGTTTTGAGATACAGCCAGAACTATTTTTTGTTAACACTTTTATTAAAATATTTAATTGAATAGTAAAATACAATACAAACTGAAAAAGGAAAGGGAAAAAAAGAGAATAAAAGGTGCAAAAAAAAACATAAAAGAAAAAAACCAAAAACTTAAGACTGCGATTTCCCACCTCAATTTCACTGTTTTTTTATTCCCTTAAATAACAAATATAAAACACTTAATCTCATAACTCAGCTCTTAAACTGTAGGCAAATCTAATAAGTGATGTCTTCTCCAATCCAGGTATCACCAAAAAGGTCAAACAGATTCCTAAAATAAATATACTGATTAGCAAATATAAAACTCATTATTCCATATCTCAATTGTAAGCAAGCTCCCATTTAGAAGGCATAAAGTGGTCCCAGTACCCTGATATAAACAAAAGGCTGAAATTTAACATGACAAAAAAGAGAGCAAGCTCACAAAGATCCTGTACTTTAAATAAAAAGCCACTAAGGACACATAAATGCTGTCCAATTAGAATACAATATATATGGGGGGGGGGGGGGGAGTCTTAAACATAACTATAAACAAATCCAATACACAACATTCTTCCAGTCTGGGTGTCAGCAAGTCCAAAAGGATCCACTCAAAGTAACAACATGTTCCCATTTTAACCCTGATTGAACAAAGCCGCTTTATATTCCTTCCTTTGAGGTAAAACAATCTTGCTTTTGAATCCATTTATATTATTGCTGATCCTTGTCTTTGATTTTTAAAAAACTTTAAAAAGCCTTTTTTGAAAGTCCAGCAAGACAAAATTATTCCAATTACTTTCTGAAATTGGCATTCTTATTTTCTTCTTAATTTTTAAAACCTTAGGTGATTTTATTTTTTGCATGTCTAATGACAAATTCTTGTTCACATTCTCAGATTTTGTTGCAGGTTTTTTTCTGTAACAGTTTCATCTGGGAACAGACTGTTCCTAACTAAGAACAGACAACACTGCTAATATGGTGGTTCAGTATCCCAATGCAATTCCTTACAAATGTCTTGAAAGCCTTTATAAGTTGCTTAGCTTGTTATATCTCGTTATGTCTCCAATATCTGAAATATTTTTCCACAAAAATAGGTTCTCTGGAATTAATTTCAAAGTCTTAGTATTTGAGATCGAAAATTTTCTAATGTTTTCAGACCCTTTAATCCATTTAAAATTTTCTATGCTCAAAACCCTGTGTTCCCTTTTGCTGTTTCTTTTGAATTTCTAATGCTGTTTAAATAAAGTTTCAATTTCTTATATTAAGGATTGGAGGCACTGCCTTGTCATTTTGAAAGTGTCTAATCTCTTTAAAGTAGTTAATAGGCAATTTCTAAAACAGTGATTAGCCCCACAAAAGTATGAAATTAGTGTCTTTTGCAAGACTCTGACTGTGCCAGGAGGAAGTATGACAAGTTTTCTTGGCTCCCAGTTTCCCCCTCCCCTCCTTGTGAGGGGCAACCATATGTAGTGCAACTTAGGCAGTCTTGCATTCTCTCCTTGCCCAGAGAGGGTCAAAGGAACCAATCTGCTTGTCAACTCCCTATTCTTAGTATATTATCAGCTCCACATTTTCAGTCCCCCATTCTTCCCTGGAAGTGATCCAGCTAAAGCTGTTCTGTAGCTAAGCTCCAATGCTCTTAAAGTTTCTTCTTGGCTCCTCCAAGCTCTGGTACCTTCTTGCTCCTTCTAATATTGAGCTTGTCAACTCCCTGTTTAATCCTACTTTCTATAAATTAAAGCTTCCCTTTTGATTCCCATGATATTAAGTAAAGTTAGCTGAAGAACCATGCAAACATTACAAGATGGTATTATTATTTAGCATATGTTCTTTCTAAAATGAAAGTGGTCAGGTGTTCAAAATCTCTGTAGCTCCTTCCTTCAATCCCAGAACATTTGGAATTTATTCTCAATAGTATTAAAACAGACTCTTAGGCATTGATTACTATTTCTCAAGTTCTTACATTAAGGTCTGACACTGAATCAGGAGCCAGAGTTGAAAAATGGCTCAAATTAAGCCCTATGTATGCCATCCTGCTGAGAACCCACAAAAAGAGGCTGATCTGAGTGTTTTCCGCAAAAAGGCTGTTTAAAATTTCATCCTCCAGCTGCCCAACTTTAGATCAGCAGGAGTCTTCACTGGCTAAAAAGAGGTCAACATATTCTACTTCCTTGGTCATGGCAATTAGTATTAGTACTAGCTATAAAAAGGGTGATTGTGTCTCTCCCTGACCTGTAAGGTAAATCTGAAAAGGCTATGTACAGGTGGTTTTTATTTTGACTTGAGAATAGCATACCTAAGTGCTGACCTGTGAATGCACCAGGCAAGGACATCTCTAGTTTTATAGATTACCATTTGAATGCAGACAAACACATGAGAAACCCTAGGTGTTCTTTTCAAGGCTTAGATTGTTGCCTGAGAGACACCCATGACTTTTAACTTACCAAGCTTGGTGGTCTGTTTATAAAGGTAAACGTTTCCCCTGTCCAGTCGTGTTCAACTCTAGGGAGCGGTGCTCATCTCCATTTCTTAACTGAGGGAGCCAGCATTGTCCAAAGACATTTCCATGGTCATGTAGTCAGCATGCCTATACATCAAGGCACACAGAGTGTGTTGCCACCAAAGTGGTACCTGTTTATCTATTCACATTTTCATGCTTTCAAATGGCTAATAAACTAAACTACTTAGTCATTACCTATCAGCAACAGTGTTCACTTGGCTGCAATACCAAAGACTGTAACTTGACTCAGTGCATTTGAGACTGAAGCTTGCTCTAAACCAGACCATTTCATTCTGCAATTTAAATACTTCCTGGCTGTTGTAAATCAGAATTTTTGCTTACCAAAGGCATGACAATTGATTTTGGTATTAGTATCTGATGGTTTCAGGATTGTTGCTCAAGAAAATTGCAGGTGGACCTCATGGGGTTATTGGAAAGAGGCTGTTTAAAGGATAACAAAAGAATAATGGAAGAAGTTATTTACTTTCACTGTCTATATCTACTCTTTTCTCCCATTCTCTAGAAGAAGTATGCAGCCAGTCCCTATTCAGAGGAGATTGTGATGGAGGTATCACCAAAGCCGCAAGATGAACCAGAAATGCTGTGGGTGATGGGCCCTGTCCTTGCGGTCATCTTGATTATCATTATCGTTATTGCCATCCTACTCTTCAAAAGGTAATCAGCGGCCTATACTTACAGAAGACACAGTGAGGGGCTTAAGTTTTACACAGAGACATAATGTTAAATCCAAGATGAAAGTCAGCTATCACTAAGATACTTTGATTCTACCCAAAGCTTTGCTCACTTGTAGGGCAATGGTGGATGCAAGATATAACAGCCCATGCATTTCATTTTGGAATGGAATGAATGAACCCACCTGTCAACATTTGATAAACTTTTGGTCTATACAAGTAGTCCTCAAGTTATGACCACAATTGGGACCAGGTTTTCGTTGTTAGGCAAGGTGGTTGTTAAATGAGTTATGCCCAATTTTGCAAAAGTTGTTAGGTCAATCACTGCAGTTGAGTGAATCATGCAGTTCTTAAGCAAATCCAGCTTTCCACATTGACTACGCTTTGTCAGAAGCTGACTGGGAAGATCACAAATTGTGATCACATGATCCCGTTGTGCTACAACCCTTGTAACTATATACTGGTTGCCAAGCACCCAAATTTCGATTGCATGATTATGGGGATGCTGCAGCATTTATAAGTGCAAGACCCAGTTGTAAGTCATTTTTTTTCAATGTTGTAACTGAACAGTAGCTAAACAAATGGTTATAAATGGTTGCTATCTATAATAAGAATGAGTAACTTCATATAAGTGCTTTTCATAGATTACTATTGCTTAAATTATATAATATCTAGGCCCAAGAAGTGCCTTATCCTCCATTACTTTATTGAAAGGGTTGGTGCTTTAATCCAGGAAAATACTATAGAATTCGGTTTGGGACAGCAGAAGGCCCTATCTTGGTTAGTTGTGACCATGTTCTTGGCAAGAATGTCCAGCGTCATCTGCTTGTGAAGTTAAAGTAGCAACAGCTTACTTCTTTACAGCAAATGCAAAGTCTTCCATTTCTTACTTAAACAACGTACCATTATTTTGCTATAAATAATTGTATGCCTGGTTCCAAGGTGGAGGGAAAGAAAGGGACTTTGGGTTATTGCATATATGGTTAGTATCCTTGAATAATCCTGGTTTCCTCTTTTATTTCTGCTCTCCATGGATCTAGCAAACAGGAAAGGTAGTTACCATTTTTCTCTTTTTGTTGTACGCATTGAGATCCAAAATTTCATCTTGCTTAAATCCAAAGCCTGGTTTTTGATATTCCTCTGCCTTTCTTGCTACTGTGCCATACTTCCTCATCCTTTACCTATCTCGTGTCATTGTTAGAGTAAATAAATAACTTCACAAATAAGATGACCTTGTTTTAGGCTTTCTCTGTTAACCAATATACATGTCCACAATGAGAAAGTTTAGCTAAGAATGTGGCATGTTCTGTTAATCGGTTCCATAAATCTTGTTCCGAATGATTCCTTTTTCCTATTATCAACCAGATTTCTTTTAACTTGACTGCTAACTTCGTTACCTGACTAATCATTGATAAAACAAAGTAGTGCTATTATGGTAGAGCAAAATTGATTTTTAACAGAAATTAGAGGCCAGAACAAAGCACCTTGGCATTTTTCTGTATACTTTTGTTTGAGCAATGAAATCAGATTGATGACATACCTTTTTTTTCTGACATGTGACTGCTTTATAAACTATCTCCTCCCAATCTATGCTACAAATATAAACATATAATAATAAATGTGTTGAACAGATTTCAACCCTGTAATGTCATAGAAAGTGATTTGAAAAAATATTAACAGCAGTGCATCTGCTGGAGCAATCTGACTCTCACTGATTCCTATAAGTTGCCCGTAGTTTCCTGTCTACGGGCAATTTTGTGGTACTTTTTCCCCTTTTAAAAAATGGGCTTTTGTCACTAGGAAGATATTCAATCACCAAAATTTCCCATTTGCTTTGCCTAGGAGCGCAGCAGAATGCCTTTACCTGTATTCAGGAGATTTGAACAGTCAGTTGTGTGCACTTGCATGCATGCACACCTCTGCATACAATCATACCCACATATGTTGGCTGAAAAAGAAACCTTTTGTAAAATGCATTAGGTGGATGTTAAGAAGCAGCACCGCATGGAGTCATGTGGTTTAATGGTAATAAGTGACCCCACCAATAATATTCCTTGCCATCCCAAAATCCCTGCAAATCTATCCCACTGAATTATTGGACAGGTTCTTCTCTGCTTAGTTAGTACTTAGTTTATACTCTACTTAGTAACTTTAATCTACCAGGATAAGAGCCTAGGGTAGCAGAACTATGGACATAAATATAACACGAAGAGACAACAATGTTTTATTATGCTATTAACAAATGCCTTCAGCCATTCAAGACAAGTATTAATGGACCAATAAAATTTACCCTGAAGACCCTTTATCCTTGTACTTTACAATTCTTCACATTTAAAATAATTTTTAATACAGAGAATCTTCAGTGTTCTTCCACTAGAGGAAATAGTCCCTTACAAATAAATGTGAAAAGAAAGAGGAATGCCAAGCTTCTGTCATTGTGTTCATGTTAGACAGCAGGCTTTAATAATCCTTTTTGCATGCTGCTATGTACGTTTCTGAGACTGTTGCCAGGATCTTGTTATTCTTTCCCAAATTTATCTTGTATAAGCCTGTCTTTCTTTTCCTCAGGAAAAGGACCAATTCACCCTCATCCAAGGATGAACATACCATTGGCCTGAAGGATTCCTTACTCGCCCACTCTTCTGACCCTGTTGAAATGAGGCGACTGAACTACCAAACACCAGGTGAGCTATGGTTATATTGCCCCAGGGATACTTATCCCTCATACTGTGTGTATCTCTTCACTATCATGCTAGATTCAAATTAATCAGCCCCATGAAAGTCCAATCTGCTGATAGATCAGATATCAGGTTGGCATGTTTAGTAGGCTGGCTCCTGATTGGGTTCCTTAAGTGCTGCCTACCTTCTGGTTCTTATGACATGTTAAATTATTAGTCGCTGCTGACCCTCAGCAAAGCAGTCTCTTCATAAGGCAGCATTTTCTAAATTTATTGCTTTTGGGGGGTTATTTCACTCTCATCTGAGCAGATTTGATTTGTTTTCTCACTTGTTCATGCAAAATAACTTGCCACCCTGCCTTCCTTAGATGGTGGACTTTATAAAGCACTTAAGCCATTTTAGTAATTAAAAAAGGACGCATTTGGCTTCTGAGCTCTACACATAAGTTGGGGAATTTTTTCCTTAATTATATGAGGGGGGAAGCATTTCAAGGTGAGATCTGCAAGTTTGTTTATGGCTGCATGTAGCCATTCTTTCTCTACAGCTATACATGATTACTCCGCTCAGGTCATCTTAGAAATGGAGTAAAGATTAGGGCTATTCAGATTGTGTGTGTGTGTGTGTGTGTGTGTGTGTGTGTGTGTGTGTGTGTATGGTGGGAGGCAGGCAATTAATTTCCCTAAGGGGGCCACATGAAAACTGGGACTGTTGTGGAGGGGTGACCCAAAGGGGAGGCATGTTCTCTCGCACATACATAAATTGAAAACCTTAGCAGTCTCCTTCAAAACAGAAATAATACAGTTGTATTGCATGCATGATGTACACTACTTATCTACATTTGATTTATGATCTCTGATCGACCTCAGGGAAACTGGACAGGGACAGCCAAAGGGCCAAATGTGTCCCGGAGACCATAAAATGCCTATGTCTGTATTAAAAGATACAGCTTGAGGAAGGTAGATTAATTTTTATGTTCAGTCTGGACCAGAACTTGTGAGCCCTTGCTCCCATTCTTTGCACCATTTTATTTTATCAATTGATTTTCAAGACTGATACTTTTGTTACAGTCTGAACTATCAGTTGCCTCCATCTAATCTCACTTTAGGCTGAGTTGAATAGATAATCTCTGGAACCAGACAGCCACGACTAAACCATCAGCAGTCTGGTAATTGTTATCTTTTGTAGCAACTGTTCTGACCCAACCGGGTTCCCAAAGAGCAAACACAAACAAAGACAGCAGCTCCCACCTTTTAAGGTTTAATAACTAATTCTATTCTGAAGGCTGCTTTCCACTAATCAGCTCGACAAGAAAGAGCCTTGCCAAGTTGTTTGTCAAGGCTGCCAAAAATCCAGAGATAAGAACTAATTTACAAGATTCTCCAAACACAAACTAAGATGTCCACCAGTTGAGCTTAAGAGCTTCTTTGCTATCTTTTCCAAACCTGGCTTTTATCCTCTTGAGGGAGGGGCCATTACCTTGCAGCCTTACTCCCGAGTCGCCTGTGCTGCTGTAATTGTTCTTTCCTCTGAGCAGTCCTTCGTGCACGTGTACTTGGCACAGGCTCCTCGAGAACCTCCTCATCACTGCTGCCAGCCTCCACAATCTCTGAAGGCAGCAGTCCACTCCCTGATGGTCCTGGCCCCTCATCAGAGTCCTCGCTCTCCTCTGCCATCTGCACCTGCTACCAGCTAACCACAACAGCAACTCTTGAAGTATGAAAGGTCCTGCTTAGTACATAATTAATGAAACTGCTCTACTTCAGTATAAAGCTTTCTACCTTAATAATCTCTATTTCACAAACAGTTCTTACATGAGTTGTCAGCGTCTTTACATTCATGATGTGGCCCCGATTCCTGAGCCTATGCTGTCAGAGGAAGAGGACCTGGAAGATGAGGAGGAGGAACTGGGAATGCCTTCCTCCCCAGGACCTTCCTCTCTGGCAATGCCTTTCTCCCCAGGACCTTCCTCCCTGGTAATGCCTCAGGTTCCATCAGACAAACGAGAGGAACAGCCTGAGATTAATCAGGAAGAAGGCATATCGGAGCAGCCCCTGACAGGGAGTAAAGAGTGTTGGCTCGATCCTAAGCAGTGTCATAGGGAGAAACGTGAGCAGCAACGTAGGAAGCGTGGGAGGGTCAGAGAGTGAGCTGAGTCATTGAGCCACACCCCACAGGGGATAAAAGTGGGTGTGTTTTCGCCTGAAACTTTGTACGGGACAAAGTTTAACCTTACTTCAGAATTTCTTTGTGGACTGCCTTGTGATTTTCTGTGAGTAAAATTCTATTTGCTATCAGTTCGGACTTGGCAGGCAGGACGTGGTAGAATGCCAAGAGTATTATCAGTTCCAAAAAATTAACTCTGTGAACTCTGAGCCAGCTTGCCTGCCTGTGTTTGCGTGTGTGTGTGTGTGTGTGTGTGTGTGTGTGTGTGTGTGTGTGTACTCTTTCATCTTTTCGGAAAGAGGAAAGGCGAGACAGAACACATTCATATTCTTTTTCAGCTGAGGCAGGTTTGGTAGCATATTGCTGTTACATGATTGAATAAATTCTGACTGCACTTTGGTCATAAGATTCCTGTAACAAAGAATGCAAGGTCTTATTTGTCATTAGATTTGAGAAAATCCTAACTATTGGTACTTGAGGCAAGATAACATCGGTGATAAATTTACCTGTAAAATAATCCTTGTTGTAACTGATACTGTTTCAATACTGCACCTACTATACTTCCATATGTGTAACCTGTGTGGAGCTAAAATTGTTATCCTCAAACTTGGTTTTGAAGATGGTGATGAGGACTTTTGTGTTACCTTTTGACCTTCTCTTACTCCTTAACTTTGCCTTCAGCAACAGTAATGGGATTTCTGTTCTTACAGGTGCCAGTGGCCCCAGTTGCCCGAATATATCAAGTTAGTTTTCTTTCCACCTGCTTTGCTCTTTTACTCACTCCACTCAACTCCTTCTTTTCCATCTCCTTTTGTTCAATATCATGAAGGTTGACCTCACTCACCACAGATTTAGTAATATCATGACCACTTTCCAATAAGCCAGGATGTTTCATCAACACAAGCTTTTGGTGCTTCTCACGTAAGATGCTCCAGCTTGCACAGGAAGAAAGAAAAAGGAGTTTAAAGGTTCCCAATCTTCTCAAAGGTTCCAGTCCTAAATCTTGAAGTTCCCAGCTGGGCTGAGGCATGAAATTGTAGCCCTAGGATAAGACTATGAGGAGTTAATTTGTAATATTTTGTGGAAATGCTCACCACCCAAAATTGGTCCAGTAGGCTTATACTTAATCATCCCCTGAATTGCACTTCAACTTTTATTCTCTTGGAAATGCAGGTAGTCCTCAACTTACAACCACAATTGAGTCCAACATTTATGTTACTAAGTGAGTTTTGCCCCATTTTATGACTTTCATTGCCCCATTGTTAAGTGAATCACTGCAGTCATTAAATTAGCAACATGATTGTTATGGGAATCTGGTTTCTCCATTGACTTTGCTTGTCAGAAGGTTGCCAAAGGGGTCACATGACTTCTGAACACTGCAACCATCATACATATGAGTCAGTTATCAAGTATCCGAGTGTAAAATCATATGACCTTGGGAATGCTGCAACGATCGCAAGTGTGAAAAATGGTCGCAAGTCACTCTTTTCAGTGCCATTGTAACTTTGAACAGTCACTAAATTAACTGTTGTAAGTTGAGGACCACCTGTATCTTGTTGAATCCTTTTCAGTCCAAGTTTCCTTGCTCTCTTTTTCTTTCTTTCCTTCCATCTTACAGAGCTTCAAATAAATCAAGCATTATTTTAGTGATATTATGATGTTTTTCAGGCAAAGAAACATTTGTGAATTGATTGGGCCCACAGGGTTGTAGAATTTGGTGTTCATGTTCTAAGGAGGAAGAGAAAATGAATGTTGATGCTTGAAGAATTACCAAAGAACAAAGGCAAAATTAGATATCGGAGGTGGAAACAAAGCCTAGTATTATAGTGAGACCACTGTTTAACAGGCTCCTATTTTGTACATTTCAGGTACAGTGGACCAAATTTCTATCCAGGAATTTTCTTACCCTCACCCCCGGTGTAAAAAAATGACAAATGCATTGCACCCAAAGTAGTCTAGTGAAGCAGTTAAATTTATGTTGATTCTACCTAGATTTTACATCTTTTATCATCTAGGCTGTTTGCATAATTTGTCAGTATGCAAATGACACATGATATCCTTTGTATCAATTTTTATCATTTATGTCCATTTAGATTATTTGCAGGGTGACCTCATTACCTCAACAATGTCATTCAACAAATGACAAACTTGCTTCAAACGGTGCAAACTGTCCTACTGAGGTACTTTCATATTAAATGGATAGGATACTATCTCTCTTCAAATGATTAAATTAGGGTTTTATTTAATTATGTAAGTTGAATTATGCATAATCAAGAAAGTTAATACACAATCTTTCTAAATGATAAGATTTATTCCTGTTTCTTCAGTGGACGTACAGCTTCTAATAATTACGACTTGCCTGCCCCAGTCAGTTTATGATAAATAAGCTGTTGAGAGAAACCCAAACTGTTCCTCAAGCATCTGTTCACAATTTCTGTTTCTGCACGGTACTGCATATTGCTGACATGAAATGAAGAAACATTCCCATTCTTCAGGAACTTTATTGCTATCTCTGCAACCTTATTTCAGCCTATAGGGCATCTCTTCAAGCCTTTTCACCTTTTGTAGGATGTTGTTATATTTGGAAACCACGTGGTTGATTGTTGTCTCAAGTAAGCATGAACAGATACTTTCTGCCTTTTTACTGGCATCGCATGCCACATTGACTTTTTCATGTTCCGTTCTCTGTGCTACTGCTATTCATTGCCATCAGCTCCACTACGCACATATGAAAGAAGACCTCTCCTTTTAGCTAAAGAATTATTTTTCCTGATAGTATGTTCCCCTCTGTTTTGTTTGATCTGACAGGCATGCGTGACCATCCTCCCATTCCAGTAACAGACCTTGCTGACAATATTGACAGACTGAAAGCCAACGATGGACTGAAATTCTCCCAGGAATATGAGGTGAGAAGAAGGGAGGTGGAGGTAGCAAGAGAGTGGACAGTTCAGTGGGGTTTTTTATTTTTTATTTATTTATATCACACCTTTATTATTTTTACAAATCACTCAAGGCAGCAACCATATCCAACACTCCTTCCTCCTCCTATTTTCCTCACAACAACTCTGTAAGGTAGATAGGGCTGAGAGAGAGTGACCAGCCCAAGATCACCTTCCTGACTTTCATGGCTAGGGTAGGGCTTGAACTCATGGTCTCTTGCTTTTCAGTTTGGTCCCTTAATCACTAGAACAAACCGGCTCTCCAGACAAAACTGGCTATCCTTTATCCTAAAAAAGGATAACTGTCTGTGCTGTAGTTGACTGTGTAATAACATAATCATGTCCCTATTCACAGTTTACGAAATTCTACTGTTTGACTACGAATTACTCTACTCTCAAGTCTTCTAACATCTACTGATTTACTCTTTGCTCAGTCGTGACTCCTGGTGGCTTATATAAAATAGAAGAATAAAACTAGCACAATTATACAAAAACAAAAGCCAAATTGAAAGTTAAAAAAACGATCGCCCATATAGTATACTACTTTACTAAACTCTAAATGCCCATAAAAGAGTTTTCAACATCTTGCCAAAGTGGTGTTCCAGGTAAACTTTGAGGTCGTTGGATTCCAATGCATGAGGGCCTCCACAGAGAAGAGCTATCTTCAGGTTTTTGTCCTTCTGAAATGTTGTAGGAATACATTCCCACAGGCATGCAGTGACTAGGCAGATTTCATTTGGAGGAGGCCATCAGTAGCAAACATATGTAAAGTCTGAAAGGTGAAAAACAGCTAATTCAATTGGAATCTATTAGCAAATCAGTGTAGCTGGGAATCTATTAGCAAATCAGTGTAGTAATGAAAGAACAGGTACCTATAGTACTAAAAATCAGGAATTGAAGTCCTGAATCTCTTTGGTTGGAAATCAGAGGAACTGTAAAACAAACTGAAAGAAATTATGAAGGATGAATCTGAAAAGAAACTGCCTAAGATCAAGAAAGAGAAGAAAGCAAAATGGATGTTACAAGAAATGATGGAAATTGTCACAAAGAAAAGAGAAGCCAAAGCCAAGAAAGACAAAGCTCTCAGGAAGGAATTTCAGGGAGCCTTTAGAAGAGACAAGAAGCAGTATTATAACAACACCTGTAAAGACATAAAAGATGGAAAAACAAGGAACATTTTCCAAAAAGTCTCTGAACTCAGAAGGAAGTTGCAACCTTGAATTGATATGCTAAAGGACATTAACAGACAGATAATACTTGAATTAAAGGTGACTGAACAAAGATGGAAGGAACATACTGAAATTCTGTACAATATAGATATCAGCATCCATGTTATACTAAAAGATGCTCTGTACTTACAAGAAGGTCAGTTCTGAAAAATTAAGTTAAATCAGCATTTCAGCTGTTACCATGTTGGAAATCTACAGGAATTGATGGAATAGCTACAGAATTATGGCAAGTAACAAAAGAATCAGTGAAAGTCCTAATTATGTTTTATCAGCAAACCCAAAGAACCAAACTGTAGCCCACAGAAATCAATCTGCCAACTATTTGTGCAATATCCTTAATTCCACATGTTAGAAAAATAATGTTTAATCTCATCCAATGCAGATTAGAGCCCAACATGAAAAAGTATATGCCATATATCCAAGCTGGCTGTTTAAAAGGCCAGAAGAATATTTAAAATGGCAATTCTGGAACATCTCAATTTTCTATAAACAGGTTAGGAAACAACAGTATGGACAGAAAGCCTATACATAGGAAACTTTGGTATGGAAGGAACATGACAAAATATTCTAACTTCAGATTGGCAGCTGAGTGAGCAAAACAATATGCTCATTCCTTATTTATTCAGCTTCTTTGCAAAATGTATAGTGAGGGTAGCTTAGAAGTTGAGTGGTTTTAAAACTAGGGAAAGAAAAATCAATGTCCTGTATTATGCTGATGACACCACCCTGATGGCTGAAAATTGAAATAATTTGTAAGCTCTAGTAATGAAATTCAAGGAGCACATTGAAAACATGTAACTTAAGTATGCAGACCAAATTAATGACCACACAGGTACAGCAACCAGCCTTAGAACTGACAATGATATCGACCTAGTAGATTGTTTTTGCCTTTTATGATTGACTACTATATTAATAGCAAAGGAATCATCAGTCAAGAAATATACCACATACTAGCACGTGGTTGAATAGCAACGAAGGCCTTGGAAAAGCTATTCCAGTGCTGAAATGTGTCAAGGATCAGAATGACACAAACATTGTTTTTCCTGGTGCATTCAATAGAAGCAAAAGTTTTATTTTGAAAAAGCAGGACAGAAAGTATATTGATGCTTCTGGGCTTTGGTATTGGAGAAGATTCCTGTGGAATCTTAGATTACAAACTATCTCCTTTAGGGAATGGGTAATCTCATCTAGAATACAGCTGGGACAAGGAAAGTTCTGGAGAAGCATCAATTTTATCTTGCCAGGATCTAGTTTGAGCTTTTACCCATCCGGAAAATCACGGTGCTTAGATATGAGAACATTTCCACAATATCTCTGATTCAGCCTAGGGTGGCAGTGTAAAGCTGATAATCATCAAGAGTATTGCTATACAGAATTAAAAAGGGGTGACCTTGACAGATATAAGTAAGATCCTTTACCTAAGCAATGAGGCAAAAAATGTGGATTAAATTCAAAGCTCTGTTACTATAAGCAATCTTAATAAAGATGGTTTAGTCTTCCAGTGGATTTGCTTTCTGGTCTGGGACTAGTATCCATCTTACAAATCTAACTGTTTTACAACTCCTCCCCATCTTATAGTCTGTTGTTTTTTTGGGTTTTTTTTTTGTATATTCTGTATATCTTAAGCCATATTTTATTCACCTTGTTACTTTGGTAATAGATCTTGCCTACATCTGTTGTCATTTTTATTCTGTAATTGCTGATAGTGCATACCAGTCTGACAGATGACCTTTTTCAGCAGCAATACATAAATGTTAAAGAGATGAAGGGAGAGAATCAAAGCTTGTGATACCAAACAATTTGAATGATGTCACCATTTCTGGCTTGAACCAACCACTGAGATAGGAACAGAACAACTGGAAATCAGTGCTTCCAACTTCAGTTGCTATGGTCCAGAAAGATACTCTGGTTTGTGGTATTAAAAATTCTAAACAGGACCCACGACAGGTACATATCGTCCTCCTATGCCATATCTTGGCATAGATCATCCAACAGAGTGACCAATGTCATTTCCATTCCATACCAACCCTAAACCTCTAGGATTGACAGCAGTTGAGTTACTTCATACTTAATAAGCTTTCTCCGAAAGGAGAAATTAAACACAAGGCAAGAGTTTTCAAATAAGAATGGTTCAACCAATGGCTTTGTTTAGACAGGGCACATCGCTGCCTTTTTTAAGGTGAGCAACATTATTGCTTCTCTCAAAGTAGCATTTAACCATCCAGTCACTCATGTCTTCCTTGCTGTCTGAAGGAAGCAAATGGGACAAACGTCCAAATTACACATAACAGTACAAAGAACCTGATTCACTCTCTTAGTTTCTGAAAGCATAAATGAATCCCAGGTAACATTGCAAAGTATTACTTCAGTCAGAGAAATCCTGGAAATGCCTGCTTCTGTTCCTCCTGTGAGAGAAAAAGCAATGAGAAAGACAAAATTGAGCTGCCTCGTTTCCTCTTTTCAGTAGTTCACCTGACAGAGAAATCTTCCTGTCATGATTGGCTGCTTAGTTTTCATTTCCCTAGGCTTTGTCTCAGCCCACAGCTTAGATTGACACATCATATTTAGATCTCTTTTTAACTCTTTCATATTTGAACCCTTTTGAATACGACTTTTCCCCCTTTGCTACAATTTATACCAGGATTCCAGATGGTTATAACAAATCACAACAATTATCAAAGCATCTGTCATTCTAATAAACTCTATAAAATTCCGTAATATAAAAACTATATATAGCAGTTTTCTGATTTTGTTATCTGAAACCAGTACACATACTAATCTGATCATTGTCACATTGCATTTTCTGTATCTCCTGAAGTTCTGAATAACTATATTTCGAAGGTGAAACTTGGCAGTAGTCACTGCAGTGATTGCTGTGATGGAGTCCAAAATAATAATATTATGAGCACAGGAATTTCCATGAATCTTGTTTGCTAGCTAGTTTGTCTATGATTAAGCATTTACTGGGAAAATGATTAATTTATAAAATTGCTGTGTTGGAGGAAATTCCATTGCAAGATAAATGTCTTCCTGTGCTTGCATCAAACTCTGTAGGCTCTTAGTTGGTGGGCATGGCTTGGTGGTCATGTGACTGGGTGGGCGTGGCCAACTCAACATCACTCACATTGAGGTACGCATCTCCTTGCCTGGCCTCTCATGACTGTGGGAATGCTGCAACAGTCGTAAGTGTGAAAAATGGTCAGAAGTCACTTTTTTCAGTGCCATTGTAACTTTGAATGGTCATCGACACAAGTGAAGTACCAGCAAAGGAGGAAAAAAAACCTCAGAGAAGTTCCAGAGACAGGAAGTCTAGTCCTGCCAAGAAGTCTAGTCCTGCCAAGAATGTAATAAGGGTTAACGGAGAGGCAGTTTCTGTAAGCAACACCAGAATGTTTCCTTCCTGCCTTCCTTACAGGATTAGGCCAGTAATTTCTTCTAACAACCGGTTCTCCAAACTTCTTAGAATTCTAGAGAATAGGTGCGAACCTGTAGAATCCCACCCCTGAGTATCTCTCAAAATTAGCATTTCATATATTTGTGATCTGCAGCTTTTCAGCTCAGTCTTTCTAATTCGAGCTCAAGCAAATATTGGCTATATTTATTAAACTGAAAATAAATGACCTTTAAAAATGTCTAACCAATTTATGGGTAAAGAAATAGACTCTGTATCTGACATCTCCAACAATTTCTAAGGACAGGTTTCTTTATTAGCAGTAACAATAGGATTCACTACTGAAA